TAATTCAATTTTTATTATTTTTTTTTTAGTATTTTCAACCTGTGTCTTTCCTCTATTACCTACCTATTTATGCTAACATTGATGAATATAACACACCCATAACTATTCTTATTGTACAAAAATATGTAACTGGCATAAATCCTAGTTTGCTTTATAAGCAGCCACACGAAAAATAAATACTTTCTTTAAAATATCATTATAAACCTACTTACAACTTTTAAATATGTGGGGCTATAGAATTATCCCCTTGAAATAGTTTACTCAAAAGGATCCTAAACTTGATAAACCTCAGTTTCCACAGAGGTAACTGGGTCATTTGATATATATGACTCTTAGTTTGTTCATTCCCTTTTCCATTTTTCCCCCCAGAAAATTAATTGTCATTGAGTTGTAAATAATTCATAACTGACCCTCCAGTAGGTTTCTGAAGTTGTAAATGCTACTGGAAAACAGGTACTGAGAAAGACATTATTAATTACATTCTAGGACAAACAATGTAGCCAGTTCTTTATTATAAAGACCGTGATAAATCAATGAGAAATATCTCAACTAATTGTTTCTAAGAAGAAAACAAGCACAATATTACTAGAACATCCAATTTCTTCATAATGTACAGAGTAGACAAAATGCACTTATGGACTGGGTCTTGCGACTGAATTTTAAAGTTGCAACATGTGTTGAGAATAAAACCGAGTAGAGAAAAGTCCCTTCTCGGCCATTTATTAGCTTTGTTACCTTGGACTAGCTAGCTACTCAATCTGCATGCTCCATTTTTCAGTGTCAAATTTGTCATTAATAATAATCCCTACCTCAGAGAGATGTTTTGAGTCAAACGAGGTAAATACTTGATAAGGTGCTGCACGTCCAGCAAGCGCTCAGTACGTGTTGGGCATTATTTTTGCTTATTTTGCTTTTAGTTAGTTTCTGATGAGAAACAGAGACTCAGAGAGAAAAGGAAATACCATGACTGCTGATGTGAAAAGTGCTGCAGAGATGTGAAAATTAGGCCTTCTGATACTGACATTATTAAGCTATCTGTCCTTCTGTGTGTCCCTCTCCATATATACACACACACACACACAAGTGCACAAGTATCCTAAACAAATGAACAAAAACTCAAATATGCTGCTTGTGGGTCCCTTAAGGAAACATTTCCGACCAAGTGTAATTGCCTGGAAGGGTTTTCGAGCCTGTAAATCTGTTAGGAACCAATCCTACACCTTTGGAATCCAGGTTGGAAGTCCTCTGAAGGAGCCAAGGGAGCCAGGTTCTACAGAGGCTTGTTTGCTGGTTCTAGTTAGGATTAAGGTGGAATGTTGATTCCCTAAGGGGCATGAGACGATGTGATTTGACCTCCTATTTAAAAACCTCCTTAAGCCCTCTGCCAAACAAGCTTGGAAGCAGGAGGGGCATCCACTTTGGAAAAAGCTTGTCTCCGGAAACCCTATGAACCCGGAGAAACCATGCAAGTTATACATGTGCTCAGGTCTTTCGTTCATAGGGGTCACTATGAGTCACTATAACTCAACGGCACTTAACAACAACAACTACATCTTTCTCCCAAGGAATGTCTGGAGGGCTCGAACCACTGACTTTTCCATTAGCAGCTGAACATTTAAACCACTGCACCAGCAGGGCTATTACTATTTGACCCATAGCAAATGCAAGTGTACAGAGTAGACTATCTTCACAATATTTTCAAGACAGTGACATTTAGAAGCAGACCACCAGGCCTGTCTTCCAAGGCATTTCTGGGCAGATCCAAACCGATCACATTTCAACTCTTAGTAGAGTACTTAACCATGGGAGTGAATACTTGAGGTATGTCTGTTTCTAGCTTGATGACAGATAGATCAGTACCTAAAGATTCACTGCTGTGAAGTACCGTTGAGTCAGAACCAACTCACAGGTGACCACCAGAGAGTCTTCAGAGGCACTAAATGACAAGGAGGAGATTGCTCAAATGTCTCCTGGACAAGGAGGAGATTGCTCAAATGTCTCCTGCAGAACAGCAGGTAGCTAGGAAACCAGGGCAGGGCAGCTCCTTAACACAGAGATCTTTAAAGTTATCTATCTGTCTGCCTGTTTTTAATAATTGCAGTTTCCTGTCAACATTCTAAATATCACTATCTATATTAGTAAGTGGCATAAGATAAATATGTTCTACATCATGGATGGCATAGCAATCTTTTGTCGATTTGCTGTACTGAACAACTTGATGTTACTATGATGTTTCATACAAGTGTCAAATACCATAATGGTTACCTGCTACGTACAATGTTTGGACGAGCTTCCAGATTGATTCATGTTGGGAAGCAGGAGTGGCATCCACTTCCTAAGCTAGATGTCTCTGGAAACTCTACATACTATAACTCTACAAACTCTACATGCTCTATAACTAACATCCTTTCTGTACAAAACTCCGCTGGATAACTAACATCATTTATGTACTTTTATAGTTATAGAGTTCTGATCTTTTGTGTGAAGCTTACTCTCAGTCGTATTCAACTCAACGACACTTAACCATTGCTAAATGAGACTAGTGTTGCTCTATCTGGAAGAACATTCTTCCACTTTGTACATCACTCTTTGTCAAAGTGCTGTATGAAGTATTCTGGGTTTGCTGTGATGCTGACCCTTGTGCCATTGGGGTATCAAATACCATAAAGGTTTCCCAATGTGAACAGTGTTTGGTGGAGCTCCCAGTTGTAAAACAGGTTTGAAGCAGGAGTGGCATTCACTTCCTAAATCCATGCCTCTGGAAACTCTGTGAACTTGGAAAAATGACAATAATTATCGAAAGGCATTAGGGCTTTTGTTCATAGAGTCTCTAGGATTCGTGCTTGACTCGACGGCAACCAACAACAACAACAATTAATGACTACATGTAAATATATATTATAGGTTCATACAGAAAACAAAGGTTAATATTGGTTATTTGTAGAGGTTCACCAAGTGAAATGATCTCAATTATTCATATTTTGAAGGGACAAATCCATTTTTAAAACTCTTTCCCACTGAAGAATTCTACAGTGTCATTTGCTGTAAAGCATAAGTGATTCTTTTTTAATCACCTTTTGAATATAAATAGAATAAAATATTTTTATTGTGCATATAATTCTGAGTATAATTTGAAAAATTTATTCTCTCTTCTGACTAAAGTAGTTCTATTAGATGTTCCTTAGCCTTAAGAGTTTCAAAATATTACTTTATCTTCTCACAACTTCACTGACACCTGTTTCTCCCACTTCTTCCTATTGCTGTGACAGATCTCCTGGGTGACCAGACTCAAGATCACCCCTCCCCAGAGTTGAAACCCACTATCTTCAATCCACTATGTGACTAAACACAGCCACCTATCAGGTTGAAGACGCTGTAAATCTCTATAAGGGATCTCTGGAAGCTTGTTGTTATTATGTAACATCAAGTCACATGCGACTCATCGAGCCTTTGTCCAATTGCTGTAAAGCCTGATCTCTCCTGAGCCAGTCTCACTGACTGTGATGCATCTATCCCCACTGCCCAGTCACTGAATCAATCCCTCTTATCTGAGGTCTTCCTCTCCTGCATTGTCTGTCCCTCCACCCTTCCAAGCATGACAGATGCCCCTCTCAAAGGCTTGGTCCCTTCTGGCCACATGCCCAAAGTACGTGAGACAGAGCCTCAAAATACTAGTCTACAAGAAGAAACTTGGTTTCACTGTCTCCAAAACAGATCTATTTGTTTTCTGGTGGTCCATGGTATGTTCAAGACTCTTCTCCAGCACCACAACTCAAAGGCATCGATTCTTCTATCATCCTTAGCCATTATCCAGCTCTCTGATGCATAGCAAATAACTGTGAAGACTGTGGACTGGGTCAGGTGCACCTTAGTCTCTTGACTGACATCATTGCTTGTCAGTACTCTGGAAAGGTCCCAGAAATTAGAAATCTGAAAAGCAGATTTACCTAATGTAATTTGTCTTTTGATTTCCTGACTGCTGGTGCCAACGGTGTTTATTGTGGAGCTGAGTAAGCTGTAACTGTTAACAACCTCAATCTCTTCTCCATCCATCATGGTGCTGCCTATTTGCCCAGTGGTGAGAATCTCTGTCATTTTGATCCTTATTGAAGATTATCATCCTGGCCTTCTGTAGCAGGTACTTCCGGCCCCCTTCACTTTCAGCAAGTACTGCTGTGTGATCTGTGTAACGTAGGTTGTCGATGGGTCTAGAAGGTTAGTGGTAGGGAGGTGCAAAGTGATGTGGATCCTCTGACTGCACCATGGCAGAAAGAGGGGGAATTTCCTCCTGTGCAACTGATGCCTCTGAAAACCCACCTGAGAGTCGGCTGTATTTCGGTTCTGACTTGAACAACACCTACAAACCACAAATCTCATGGAAGGAGATGGTCTCATTGTTCTCCCAGGAGCAGCTTTGCGGTTGGCAGCCTAATGTATTGTACTGTGCAACCTGGTTCATGTCTTCAGCCTTTAAAGCTTTTTTTTTAAAATTATTACAAAAAGGGGAGGGAAGGAATGGATGGAGAAAGAGAGAGAAATAGCGAGGGGAAAACAGGATCTTTTAGGCAGGCAAACTGTTGACAAACTCTGAGTACCTAATGCACAAGAATCAAATTAATACAGAGCCCATGAAACAAATTTTCCCTTGGGCAAGGAGAGAGAATCTATTGCACATGTCATCCGTTTCTCTGAACACTGAAGATTACAATTATGTTTTGATGTTAATCCAACTACTGCAAGTTTCTTGTTGCAAAGCACACTGTGAGAATGTGAGTGACAGTATAAATCTTTTTAAATTGAGTTGAACACTATTGAAAAGAGCTGATGTTTTCAAATACTCTCCAAAGCCTTTGCACAACAAGAATAGCTCTCTAAATGAAGCAGCTTTCTAGAGTGACCTATTTGGAAGGAGACACAAATGGTCTGAATAAAATCTAACTTGTAGATCTGCTATGAATTTTGTGTGTGAAACAGTGTGTTGGATTTTTTTAAGCAATTACCTCTAATGTTTTGACATCTTCATAAACAAACTCCAGCGTTGGAACTCCGAGATGGTTGATGAAATAATTGGCATCTCCTTGTATTTGGACAGAAGTGATGTTGGTTTCTGGGCACCGAGCTCTTTTGGTACAGTTGAAATTCTTTTTCTGAATAAAACACAATTTAAATTATTAATACATGCGATGGTATTCAGGTCATCCTGAAATCAGTCTGACCCCAAATATAGTCCCTGCATCAGCAGTATCAGTTATACTTGTTCAAACTGAGAACACTTCCTCTCAACTCACCTACTAACAGGAGTTTTAAGGGATGAGGCACTAGAATCTGTATTATAACCTCTCTGCGTTAGATCCTCTCTGAAATTTTACTCTCTCTTATTGCTGTGGAGTTGGAATCAACTCATAACTGGGTCTTAAGTGTGTTGTCAAGGTCGTAGATTGAAAGGGAAGAGATTACCCGTCCGCCATTGTAAGAAGCCACTGATGAATTGAAGTGCCAGAGGGGTGGCCTTTGGGTTAATAGTACAAATCTCCATGGATTCTGTCCCCGGAGCTCCCTGACATTTCATTAGCACTGGCGTGAAGGTTTGCTTATTGCTGTTTCTTCAAAAGAATTTTTTAATGCATTTATCTTGAACTCAGTAACACTTTAACTTGATTAAAAAGATCTGGGTGTCTACAAACTTTCACTGTGATGTTGGCACAGGATTGAACTGACTCTCCTTTTGTTTATGTAAGAGTCAGAGCAAAACACCTCAGAGCTTGATTTTTGGTTGATTTGTTTGTTTTTATGTTTCATCACAAATTTATAGAATGCTCTGACAGGAACTGAAGAGCAAATGCAAGCTGCCTGGTGCGACACTTAAAGGTGCTCTGGACAAAATGGAACGATCCAAGCAGCAGCAAAAGAAGATGGAAGGAATTCAGTCACTGTAGCAACAAGAACTGGCTGACGCAGAACCCTTTCCGAAGCAGCATGTGATCAAGAACCAATGGTAATAAAGGGAGAAGCTCAAGCTGCTCTGAAAGAATTGGCATAAAATAAGGCCTCAGGAATGGACAAAATACAAATTGACAAATTTGTACAAAGAAATGCAACTCTGGATATGATCACCAGGTTGTGCCAACTGATTGAAGAGATTCATATTTAACTTTATTCCCTCAAGAGAGTGATCCAAAAGAATGTGGAAATTATTGTACAATATCACTCATTTCATGGAAGCAAAATCTTGTGAAGATTGTCAAAAGCACATTGACAAAGAAATGCCAGAAATACAAGCAGGGTTTAGAAACAGCTGACAGTAGAGATATTATTGTCAATGTACAATGGATTATGGCTGGAAGCAAAGAGTACCGGAAAGATGTCTATTCTGTTCGACTGTGTGGATCACAACAAATTGTAGCTAACATTGCAAAGACCAGAAATCCCAGATTCTCCTTCTCATGTGAATCCTAGACCTAAAATAGGAAGTTGTTGTCCCAACAGATCAAGCAAGGCTGCATGGTTCAAAATCAAGAAAGGAGTATGTCAGGGAGATAACTGTTCTTTATACCTTTTCATACTATAGGGAGAACAAATCATTCAGGGAGCTGGACTTTATGAAGAAGAATGTAGCATCAAGATTGGAGAAAGACTCATCAACAACTTGTATTATGTGGATGACACAAACTTGTTCACCAAAACTTAGCAGGGCTTGAATGAAGTGTTTGCTGCAGAAGATCAAGTATTTCAACCTTCAACATGGATTGCAACTCAACATCAAGAAAACTAAGGTCCTTATAGCCGGGCCAGCATGCAGCTTCAAGACAGATTGAGAGTGTTAATAATCTCCTTTCATTCTGATCCACAATCAACAGCTTTGACTCCAGCAGTCAGAAAAGCAAAAGATCTGCTCTCAGGGACCTCACCAGAGTGCTAAAAAGCAACGATGTCAATCTAAAGACTAAAATGTGCCATGACTAATATGTGCCTTGGTCCTGAAAATTGCTGGCTTTCTATTTAAGAGCTGCACAATGACTAAGGATGGCCGAAGTTGAATCAGTGTCTTTAAGTCGTGGTACTTGGGAAGAGCACTGAACGTATTCTGATGGACTGCCCAAAGAACAAGCAGGTCTTCCTCGGAGAAGGTGAAACCAGGTTGCTCTTTTGAAGCAGGTCGCTCGTTAGAGGCAAGGATTTACTGCTCCGTCTCAATACTTTGTATGTGTTTCCAGGAGAGACTTGTCCTTGAAGGACATCGTGCTTGGAAGGGCAGAAGGGCAATGCAGGAGAGGAGTTCTCTGGATCAGATGGCTTTGCACAGTGACTATGGCAATGGGGTCAGGTATGTCAGAGACAGTGAGGTTGGCCCAGGTTTAGGGCCACGGTTCTTAGGACTGCTATGAGAAGTAGTCAACTTGAAGGCACACAACAACAACTACAAGAAAACAGGATATAAATCCATGTTTATTAAAATGTTTATGGACACAGAAGATATTTTTCTCCATTTCCTCTTAAAAGTACATCTGCAGATATTGTAAGCATAAATGCCAACAACTACAGCAATACGTCTTAAAACCCATAACTTAAACCCATAATTTAAAAGATAGATTGTTATTTCTTAAAATAAGAAATATCTGATATTAAAATATAAGACAAACATAAATATAAGTATAAACATAAAATATAAAAACAAGCAAATCAAAGTTTTATTTATAACTAATACTAATTAAGATAATTTTATCTATTTTGGTTGCTGTGAGGCTGAACACTGTGACACTGATGTGTCAAATGTGTTAAGGCTGGTTACCCAAGGTGGACAGAGTGGGGTGGAGCTCCCAATTAAAACAAGTTTGGAAGGAGGAGTAGCAACCACTTCCATAACAGTTTGCCTCCGGAAACCCTATGAACCTGGAGAGAGGATGAAACGCACCCAAGCGTCGAGGACTCTTCTTCATAGGGTCGCTATGAGTCACCTGCGACTCCACGGCACTTAACCACAAGCACAAGAGAACATCTTTAAGTCCTAGCTGCCTGTACTATAAAACATGAAAGAATATCAATCTCCTGCTTAATATTCCTGAGGAATATGAGGCAAAATGATGCTATCATACCTAAAATCATACAAGGCTGTTCTAGTTGTTGGCTGAGTGGGTAAAGAGTTATATGACATCCAAAAGTAAGGGTGTCTGAATCCACTAGCTGCTCCATAGGAGAAAGGCAAAACATTCTCCTTCCTTGCCATTTATAGACTCTCAAAACCTACTGGAGTGTCAGTTATGACTCAGTTCCCACTCGACAGCAAATAACAGTAAAAGCAAAATCAGACAATGTGTATACTCAAAGCAGGTTAGCCATTGACCAAGACTTGCTTTCTTCATCCTCCCACACTTCACTGGCATGAGATCATTTCAGAAACACTATTAAAAAGATTGTTGTACGTTGCCTTCAAGCTAAAGCTAACTGGTGGTGAACCACCTGCCCAGGGCAGGCTTGTTCCATGGGGTTTCAGAAGGTAACCTTTTGGAAAGAGATCAAGTCTTGGCCTGAGGCTCCTCCGGGTGAGTGCGAACGGCTGCCTTTTAATTCCTCGTCTAATTCTTAAACATTTGTTCCACCTACCTAAGAATTTCACCTTTTAGAGAGAATATATCAAAATATCGGCAGAAATGTCTCATAGTCTACTTCTCAAAAAAAACTTTTCAAAAGGTCCATCACTGAAATCTCCACACAGCCCATTTCTACTCTGATACTGAATTATATTGATAGGACCTGGAGTGTGAGTGTATGTTTCTGCATGTGTGTATCAAGAAATGTTTTATAAAACCAAGCTTTTAAAATGGGTCATAGTCTTTTCAAGCATTTAATAGTGTTTATTTCAGCTGCAATTTTCTGTGGTGACATAATAGCAAGAATTTAGCAACAAAGTTACAACCAATTAAAATGGTAAGTCAGTGATAATGTTTATAAACAAGTCAATATTCACTTTAATGTTATTCACAAATAATGGGTAATTAGCACTTTATAAATAGAAGGAAAGAGGAGGTTTTCACTATATTGTATAAGCAAACTAGAGTTTATTGAGGCTTTTCTTGGGTTTTGTTTTCAAATTGTAACACTATGAGCAATAAAGTACCCTTAGACCATTACAAATAGCACTGGAGAATGAGCCTCATAGTGGAAAATATAAAAATGAGGAAGAATAATTGAAAGCAGCCACTAGTAATTGTAATGTATGAATGTAGGAAAATTGGACATTGTTAAAAAAGAAATGGAATATTAACATACTAGGCACTGGCGAGCTGAACAGGATTGTCATGAGCCACTTTGAATTAAACAATTACATGATCTACTATGCTAGGAATTAAGAAGTGAGGGGAACATGAGACATATTCAGAGTCAAAAAGGCCATTTCTAGATCCATCCTGAAATACAATGCTGTGAGTGACAGGACACTGTCTACACAAATAAAAGGAAGACTTGTTAATCCACTATTATTCAGATATATGAACTAATAACTAGAGCCAAAGAGGAGGAAATAAAAGAATTCTACCAACCTTTGCAGTCTGAACTTGAATGAACTTACACCCAAAATTCATCAATAATAATCAGTGACAGGAATGCAAAAGTTGGGCACAAGGAAGAAGGATCAGTAATTATTAAATATGGGCTTGATGACAGAATTGATTATGGAGATAAAGTAATAGAATATTGTACAATGATTTATTTATGGAAAATATCTTTTATAAAAGACACAGATGCCAATTAAACACACAGACTTCACCAGATATACTACACAGAAATCAAATTGATTACATCTTTAGAAAGAATCTTTGGAGAAGCTCGGTTATGAGCTATGAAGACTAGACTAGGTGCTGACTGTGGAACAAACCATAAGCCACTCATGTAAAAGTACAAACTGAGGCTAAAAAAAATTAAAATAACAAGAACAAAAATATGACCTTGAGTCTACTCACTTGAATTAAAAAAAAAATCTCAAGAATAAGGTTGAGGCTTTAAATACTAAAAGACCATATGCACTATGGGATGATATCAAGAACCTCATTCGTGAAGAAAGCAAAAAATCATTATGAAAACAGAGGCATAAGAAAAGTCAAAGATGGATGTCAGAAGAGACTGAATATTGCCTTAGAATGCTGAGAAGCCA